AGCCATAGAGAATAGAATATATATTAGAGGGGAATTTAAAGAATCTCTCGGTATGAATTTTTTCAGTCCCTTTCAGCCTGAAAGGGAGTTCAAAGTGTACAAATCATGTAAATGTTCACAAATTATATGCAGTAGAGTACATTAATACAGTATGTTCTCTAGACTTTTCATTTCAATTTCGAATTTTTTAAAGCTGTTAAATAAACTTTACAATGAATTAGGGGAATAAAAAACATCATTTGATTTATATTTATAACGGAAAATCATCGTTTGTAAAGTGAAATGATCATTGGTCAATTATGAAACCAGCCTATTTCATAATTTGGTTTTCTTTTAACAATAGTTTTAGATTTTCTATAAAATGATATTCCAGGGCCCAAAAGATTATATAGCATAAATATGTGAAGTACACCTGCAGTATGGAAACAGTACAACAAAATGGTCGTTTTACACTTTTTTCTAGTAAATTCTCCTCTAATATATATTCTTTTCTCTATGGGTTTAGCTCAAATGGTTAAGGACAATTTATTCGTTTGAAAAACGAATCCGTCATCTACCCTACTCTTCATTGTATAACTTTTGTCCTAATTCTATTTTAAAAAGGATGTTATTGAAAAAGAGGAGTGATCCAAAAACCTTTGACAGAATAAACTTCTTGATGGACCATGTAGAGGTGAAAGAAAAAAAAATAAAGAGAATAATTCCAATATTAAAAACAGCTATTAACCAAGTAAATTGACGTACACTGTTGGCCTAATCAAAATTTATGTGAAATATTAGAGCAATGCAAATTAATCGATAAAAAAGTTCGACATTTCGATTACTCGCATATTATTAGACAATTTTCATTTTAATCTTTGAGAATTATTTAACACTGAATTTACTCATTGCTGGATAAATTGCTAATTGCTTCTAATTGCCTAAAGAAAACATCTGTTAAAGGAACAGAAACGCTTAAACGTGATTTCAAGTAGCCCTCCATGCAAGGATTGCAATGCCCGATTTACAACGGTAACCTTGAAACTTTTATCTGATGAGAAATGTGGAGGATACCGTCGTTTCCCGACTTTAAAAATATGCATATCTCTGAGTTTCTCCAATGCTTTTTATAAACAAGATATTCGCAAGTCCCTTTTGCAGAGAAACCGCCGATAAAGATTAACAGTTTAAACAAACAAAAACATGGATATCTAATTCATATTTGATCAACTGAAGCTGTAAAGGGTATCGTTGTAAATAGATCATTGCATTCTTTGGAGGGTCAATTTAAATTACGCTTAAAGAACATAAAGAAATATAATCTGCAAGAGACACCTATATGGACCGCTGCCAGTTGTGGGAAGCACCATCCCACACATATTCTTTAATACCCAACAAACTCCAAAGACATTATTATTAAAATGTTAAATATATTAAAAAAAAATGTTTTTAGTTCCATTGTTTTAGGAGAGAACAGCGACCCAATCCAATATCAACATGATGTATCTTAAAGTTGTGACGTTTCTCAAAAAAACTTGGTAAACTCATTTACACACTTTTAAAATCTTGTTTACTCTTCATTTGTTGACTGGCATGTGTGACTCACAAGTCACAACGATATCCTTTAAAACTTTTTCTGAATAAGGATATCTTCGTCATCCTTAAGAGTGATTTCCAAAATCTCAATTTTACTGTAAAACGTTCAAGTTTTCTCGATTAGTTTTCGGCTGGAAAAATGAACATATCTCAGTTATTGATGACTAGAAAGAAGGTACTGTGATTTGTGAATTAGACATGCCAATCTTAAATTGAGGCACATGAAACACTAACATGCAGTCCTGAAACAAATCAATATCCAACGAAAACATCCAATACATTTATTGTCTATTAACAATTGACACTTTATACATACATATTTTCGTATTCTTTTTCTATTTCTTTTCCAGTGATACACCAGAGTTCGATGAGACTGAAATATCCAGAACAATTGGAATTCTTAGAACTAATGGAATGAAATTAGAACAGGTTTTACATTTCATTCTTTTTAATTGTATTTTTGATTTGCATTGCCTAATCTCACATCCATTGCGAAAACTTTTGATTTGAAACGTAAATTTTTCATTTGAAGTGATTTAATCCTTAGCCCATAAACGACAGTTGACTCATATTTTCGTAATCTCTTTTTGTGCGCCGGCTTTTTTTGGCTTCTCATTTATCGATTTAATCGAAGAGACATTCATAAGAATCTTACTTTTAGGCTAACTTGTAATTCGTGTAAATGGATATACACTGATATATATAGAGATATAAAATGCCCCAGCTTTTAAAATCAGAAATGCTTTTAATGACAGTTAGGGTTGGGGCTGCGGAATGACATTGTATGATGAACGGGTATTTTTACTTACAGGTAGGGTTTCTAATATTATAATTCCGCGCAATTCCTCTAAAAAGAGCACAATACCGCGCAATGTTGGGCAGTGGAATTCCGATCGGACACCCTAATTACAACTCTTCAAATTCTGAATAAGTTGTGTTTAAAAAGTGCAGAATTTCAAACTGAATTTATCTTTTAATCTAAGGTTGGATCATGTGAATGTGCTGGAGTAGCCCTGTATCCTATTTATTGTCTTCTAAACCACGCTTGCTACAATAATACTAATTATACTAAATATCCAGATCTCCATCTAGAGCTTAGGTATTTTTATTAGATTAAATGTTCAATCCTAAAAATATAATTTTTGTAATTAACCTTTTTTATAAATTTTCCTTTCAGTATTGACCATCAAAAAAACCGAATTGCATAATAACTTGAAACGCAGTGTAATTTAAACCATTTAAACATGATATAATTCAGCTAGACATCTCATTTAAAGGGACTGTACTCTGACTCTATTTAAAGAGTGTAATATCCGATTCAAAACAGCGTGAGCCTAAAACTTTTTCCAATTATTTATGAGATTAAATACATTTTTGCTCTAGATCAGGGAGTAAGGAATAGAAGGGAGATACAACTGACGCGGTTCGCCCTACCATATGATTATCCATGCTTTGCAGACGGTACTCCATTTGTATAAGAAATATTCAGAATAGGTTATTGTATACGCAGTAAATGTACATCAGACAAATATTTCTTATTCAAATGAAGTACCGTCTGCAAAGCATGCTTAATCATATGGTACCGCGTCAGTTATATCTCCCTTCTATTCATTACTCCCTGCTCTAGATTCAATGGGAGAAAATATTTAGAATTGAAAACGTTTTAAGCTAGCAAAATAACGATATCTTCCACATTATTAATCAGTTTTTGCGATAACTTCTTTGCACTTCACATTTAAATCAATCACATTTTGGAAATCCCAGAACTATTTTTATGATCATTGATTTAAGTATCATACTAAAAACTGTTTTACCAATATCGTTTTTGTCTTTATAAATTTTTCTCACTTAAATACAAAGACCCTACATATATATATATATATATATATATGAAAGTGTAACAAAATAACGTATCAATTAAAAGTCATCGTTGTATGTATAATTTTGTAGAGCACAGTACACAGTACACAATGGTAATATTTAGAGCCCAGACTGGTATTAAAGCAGGAGAAGAGATTACAACAAGATATGTTAGTTCTACCCTGGGAAACTACAGGTAGCAGACAAAACGAAAACTTTCAAAATAACCTAAATAACATGATTTCATGTTATTTTTTACTTTTATGTAATTGCGTTTTTTTCAACAAAAATACCACCTTTGCTTTAATATAATCCAGTCGGAAATACACAATATGCATCTTATTGTCCAGACTAAAAATGCTTTAAGATCATCCTCATTCAATGAAAGACCCTTTTAATAAGCACAACTCCGATTAACAACGGTACCCTGTAAACCTTCGTCTGAATTGAGGAATGTCTTGTGTTCTAATCGTATCACAAAGATTTAATTTGATGTGTTTTTATTCTTTAATAATTTTAGGTTTATCAATGATAAATGATGAAATGATAAAAAGGCACCCTGACATAGTTTTAAAATTTCAGACGACAGAGGGATATCCAAAAATACTGGTTTTTTGACTGCCAATGTAAACGGTAACTTTTTTTTAAAGGTTTAAAAACCTCTCCTTAAACAAGCCGTCCCCCCTCCCCTTCCCCCCCGATTTACACAAAAGTTCGTTAATTAGTTCGACCCCCAACATCACTTTTTACACGTACATCTAAACATTAACAGTTTGTATTTAACCTTTGTGACAGAAACAATCTCTAGGAATAATAATTGTCCTAAATTAATTTTTTATAAGTGAATATTTGCAAATTATCTTTTTTCCATCTGATAATTTGAGTTCGTTTCCCTTCTGTCCATTTGACAGCCCAAATTTGTATTTTGAATAATCTTTTTTGTTTGTTTATTTTCTCGTGATGTTTAACAAACCTTTTTTTATATTTTTTTTTTATTGATTTTGATGGTTATTATATCGTTAGAACTGACGAGGGTCAACTCAGACCAAAATATATTTTCAATAAATGTGGAACTAACATCTACTTTTTTACTTGGTCCATCACCATCACCGAATTTTAATTTTTTTTTACAAATCGTACAACTGTGTATCTATATCTCTCTAAAACCATCTGACCAGATACAACTTCTATATCTCTTTAAATCTTACAAATACCATATTTCTTTAACCCCATCTTACAACTACTATATCTCTTTAAATCTTACAATTATCTATATCTCTTTAATCTTACCTTACAACTACTATATCTCTTTAAATCTTACAACTACCTATATCTCTCTAATCCTATCTTATAACTACATTATCTCTTTAAATCTTACAACTACCTATATCCCTGAATATCATGAATTTTTATGAATTTTCTCTTCTCTAAGTAAACGTATACTTACCGTTAAATGAACTAATTTTCGAATCATTAGTTAGATAAGTCTTTGATACGTCAAGTTTAAAAATTCTGATCATCTGGGATAGTGATAAATATGTAATATTAACTACAGGGTGTCCCACGAAACATGGCAGTTGGTGAATAGTTTAAAATGTCTTCTTCCATAATTTTTTAAGTTGTTTGATACCAAAGATGATGATAAGAAATACTAAATTGCAGTAATATTATAGTAAAATTAATTTCAAAAAAATATATACAAATAATTTTAGTAAAAGATTTGTTAAACAAAATAAACTGCAAAAATTCTTAAATAACTAATACAGGATCATGAAAGAAGACATTACAAACTATTCACCAACTGTCATGTTTCGTGGGACACCCTGTATCTAGAAAATCTCCGATGTAAGCATGATTATATGAAATAGAAAACTACAGAAATTTAAAGAATTTCAAGTGCCTCTAAATTTAGATATATCTATCTGATTCACAATATGGTACCTGTCAAATAGATATATCTATCCGATTCACAATATGGTACCTGTCAAATAGATATATCTATCTGATTCACAATATGGTACCTGTCAAATACATATATCTATCCGATTCACAATATGGTACCTGTCAAAGTTTAGTCTGATCAAGTATGAAGGGGAACTTAAACTTAAACATTTTTGTTAAAAAAAGGTCAATCAGGTTGAGAATCGGTCATGAATTCTCATTAAAAATTACGACAACCTTTAATTTTATCATATTTGGATTTCAGGGTCCATCTTCTGTTTCAAATGTGACCATTTTCTCTTTGTATACATTGTAAAACAAAAACAGAAAAAAGTTCATGAATTTTATGAATTTAATAAAAATCAAATTTTGTTGGAGACCAATTTTCTAAACTTTAATCATCCATAAACCTTCCCCTGGGGTCTTGTGAGGTCCCCCACTAAATTTTAGCGCGATCGGTTTATCCGTTTTGACGTTTATTGTAAACAAACAGACAGACGAGCAAATCAAAACAAGTTTTATTGCAATTTGCTATTTTTAGATGTCGAGATGTGACTGAACTGGGAACACACATGTCGTCAATTAGATGTAATATTTGTAGGTAATCATGTACTGTAGTGTAGGTATTTATGCACTTTAATGTAGATAATTATGTACTGCAGTGTAGATAATCATGTACTGTAGTTTGGGTAATTATGTACTGTAGTCTAGGTATTCATGTACTGTAGTGTAGGTATTCATGCACTGAAGTGTAGGTAATCATGTGCTGTAGTGTACTGTGTAGGTAATCATGTATTGTAGTGTAAGTAATTATGTACTGTAGCGTAGGTAACCATGTATTGTATTGAAGGTAATTATGTACTCTAGTGTAGATAATCATGGACTGTGCTGTAGGTAATTATGTACTGTAGTGTAGAGAATCATGTACTGTACTGTAGATAATCATGGACTGTGCTGTAGGTAATTATGTACTGTAGTTTAGAGAATCATGTACTGTAGTGTCGGCAATTATGTACTGTAGTGTAGAGAATCATGTACTGCAGTGTAGGTAATCATGTACTGTAGTGTAGAGAATCATGTACTGCAGTGTAGATAATCATGGACTGTGCTGTAGGTAATCATTTAGTGCAGTGTAGATAATCATGTACTGTATTGTAGAGAATCATGTACTGCAGTGTAGATAATCAAGTTTTGTAGTGAAGATAATCATGTTCCTGAGTTATGATTGGACTAACAAACAAACACACAGAGATTACAACTATAGATTCCGTGAATTGAACCCGGAAATGAAAGTGCTAAACGACCAAAACAATAACATGTTGTCTGGGAATATCTATCTATTTGTTCAAAGTTTTCATCTAATTCTATTTTTGCTTTGTGTTGTATGACACTTCAAAGTACAAATAATACATACAGATGGTCTGGATTACAGGATGTCCCAATAAACATGGAAATTCAGTGACGATTTTTATATCGTCTTTGTTTAAAGGATGTGTTGATATAGTATGGTGATTTCTACTAGATTTGCTGTAATCTGTCGTATATTTCGTCTGCTGATTGAGTAGAGTATTTGTTTGTTTTTGTTTTGATTGCATACAACAGTACTTCCCGTATACAAACACAATACACAGTTGTTCCTTTTAACTGTTAATCTTGCAGAAATATTGCAGTCACATCATAAAACATTTTGCAGAAAAACAAAACATGCTTTTTGACGTTAACACAAAATATACTCTAGCAGACATAAATTATTTTGAGCAGTGAATTTAGGTAGTACAACACTAGTTCATAACAGAGCTGAGCAGTGAATTTAGGTAGTACAACACTAGTTCATAACAAAGCAGTGAATTTAGGTAGTACAACACTAGTTCATAACAAAGCAGTGAATTTAGGTAGTACAACACTAGTTCATAACAAAGAATATTTTCTAGTTCGGCTATTTTACCATGTTTATTGGGATACCCTGTATCATAGAAGCACTCGAATTTTTTGGACTAATTTTCCATTATTTCGTTAAATCATGCACAAAAATTTGATCCATTACCGTATACTTAAACTAACTATAATAGGCAATGGGAGGTCCAACAAAAAGTTTGTCCCAACGGAGGTTCTATTTTTACAAAAAATTATAATCTTTGAGTATATTTTCTGCTGGGTGAAACTTTTCAAAATTGTATCTTGTCTTTAAAACTCCTCATTAAGAGAGGGCGGGGGGGAAGGTGAACAATATTTAATTTATTATCCTGCAGGTCTACGACATTGGGTTGCTAAGATATAGGAATAAGAAAAGGTGCAGCATAGACCCTATTATACTGAATATTTTCTAGCGGCGGATTTCTCTCTCCAGAACATAGTTTTCTTGATGATTCCCCCTGGTGTTGTGATTCCTGCACTAATAAATGGTAAGTTTTCAAATTCTTTAACCCTGTCAGGATTTAGGGGTTTAATGAGCTGACCCTAAAAAGTTAATCTTGGGACATAAGTGGAAAATCACATAAGTAAATATATATCCCCCCATCTTTATTAGAAAAAAATAGCCCAAACTGGAGTACAGTCTGCAAAGCATGTATAATACTATGGTCGGGCGGGTCGGGTTGATCCTGTCTCCATGTGTATTCCATACTCCTTGACTGCACAGCGCTCGGTCAATACATGTGGCCGCTATAAATAGGCCAGGATTTAATCTTATGTGCTGACTTGAAGACATTCTTGTCTAGAAGTGTACAAATTGCGGGGTTTAGGGTTGTAGTTTAGTAAACTTATACCCTAGTGTTAAACATACACCTATCTCCTAAAACCCCTCACATAATGTTGCCACACCAAATCCAAAAAATCTCCTTTTACGAAGTGAACGATCGAATCCGTAAATAAATTTTCAATCCATTGTAAATTCCACTTTTTATATTTTCAGAAGTATATTTACAAATATGTTTAACCATACAATCAAACCCTCAAACCCTTATTTACTCCTTTTCACTCCGACACCAAAAAATAGTAAGATATTGTTAAATATTCATTACTACAGTGTCATTTAATTTTATTAAACCTGTATTTTATTGCAGGTTTGAAATATATATATTTACTGATTATTGCGACTCTCGTGCCCGAGTTAACCCTATTCCTGCTGGGGGGGGGGGGTCAATTTGACCCACCCCCCCTGTAGTTTTTTTTACATAACTCAAAAAGTATTGGTCTGAGGCTGTTGAAATTTTCTGACTTTTCTCACATACCCAAAGCCCTCCCTTTAGGCCTAAAACCGGGCTTTAATACTATCTGTCTGAGTCCTCAGGCACACTGCCTGAATGACTGTTTTTGCCCTAACAAACTAAATCTTTGTTTAGACCCACTTTCACTTGTCAGATTTCGATAAAATTTAGCTTTTTGGAAAGCTTATGACATAAGGAAACGGATTGCACAAGTTTTGCGAAAAAAAAATTGCAAATTTTTTGCAAACAACCTGTCAAAGGAAATTTGTACATTTTTAGTTTTTCTTAATTTTGCAAAAATTTAGGCATATTTGAAATGGCATGGTCAAGGGCTTTTCAAAAATGTATAATTTTTCATTTTTTGGAGAAATTTTTTTTTGCAAACATTTTTACTATATAACTGGATTTTGCGATAAAAAATTCAATTTTTGCAAATTTGCAAATATTTATGAAGATTCTAAAAGTAGATCACAAGAGCTTTCTAATGATGTATCATTTGTCATATTTGGACATAAAACATGGGATTTAGAGGGGGGGGGTCAAATTGACCCCCCCCCCAGCATATCCTGGTTTTCAAGTACCCCAGCAGGGATAGGGTTAAGGAGCCTAATCATCAAACCAACCAACCAATGGACCAACTAACCAATGAACCAACTAACCAACAAACCAACCAACCAATAAACCAACTAACCAATTAACCATCTATAGCCAACCTAACATCTGATTGTCATATCGACTCCTCACCTACGTTTCAACAACTAGAATTTATTCAGATCTAAGCATATAGTCCTAAACATGTGTACAACATGTTGGCCATTTCTCCTATGCCATTTACCATAAAAGATATGAGACTGCTCACTTCAAGAACAACTATACGAAACATATCAATCTGTTTTCTCATAATCATGATTCTCTGCAACTGTAAAATTATGGCTTTATCTGCTAAATATAATTTAAGCAGCCATTTCAAGTCTTTATGCGAGCCACTTAACCTGGGATCGTCATATCTTTAAGTTGTTCTTACAATCTCATCCTTTGTGGGTACATTAATTTATCCATTTTTTTTGCAGGGATAAAAACAAAGTAACGGAATTGATGGATACATTGGAAGAGGACAATCAAAATCTCGATACTTCCAGAGTAGAGGACTTGGAAGGTAAAAGCTTTCAACACAAAAGATGAGAATTCAACGTCCGAAATTTGCTTAATCTTATTTTTTAGGATTCTGCACATCTTTTCATATTATTATTTTATCTCAAAATCAGTTAAAAAGTCAATTATAATAGTACTTTTAAATATTCAAATCAAGCCTCCATGGAAAGATGGCCATGCCCAATTTAAAAATGTACTCTTTTCGTTTCGTTAATTGTCAGTTAAAACCGATAAAAAAAATCAGGAAATCGCTTATTCTAAAGGTAAAAACGGAACGTTCGTTTCGTCAGCGGCATTAACCTTTTTTAATTACCGTTAGCAAATGATCTCAATTTTATCAACGACGTTAACGGGATATTTTCAACAATCGTTAACGGCTCCAGTCATTAAATTGTCTATTACATTATTAACGGCAGGAAGTGACAACAAATCTGTTAATGGATAAAGAATTGTTAACGGCACAGACACTAACAGTCTTTGTCTGTATTAATGGCGCGAAATACCCCCAAAAAATTGTTAACTGTTATGAAATCGTTAACGGTCGTTTTTAGTATTAACGGCGTTAACACTCAGTTTGTCAAATCGTTACCGGCACTAACAGTTGACTGCGGACTGACTACTGGGTAGTATAGAGATATCCAAATCATCTTTTATCCTATTCCGATGAGAACCCAGATTCTTTCACGGCTAGACAAATGTTTTTTTTTTATCAAATTTGAAGTTTAATACGATATATTCTCAGCATTTAAGGCTCTGAACACAGAAGGCAACCTTTAAAAACATCAAAAATTCATCGTTAAAAAAAGTTATTCCGGATTTGCTTTCAATCATTAATTTTGTTCTTATAAAACGGCTTATCCGTTTTATTAACTGTTTAAAAATTAACGGGTTTTGCCGTTAGTTAACAGACACTTCCGTTAATTTTGGAAAACCTTTGTTTCGTTAACTAAATTCTAGACGCGATTCGTTGGTTTCACTTGAAATTTTAATCAGTGTTTCGATATTTGAGCGGGCGCTCAATTAGAACCGGTTATTGCCGGTTTAGCGACGCGATTCAAATTATTTAAATTCGGCCTCAGTGTAAAACAGAATGGGTGTCCTCTTTTATATGTTTTTTTTTTAATTTTGACGTTTTTTTGACTAATCTTTTTTTAAATCATAGTTTTTACTACTTTTAGGCGGGTTATGACTCTCATAGCCCCCCCCCCCCCTTTTGTGAACGTCTCTATTATAACAGCACACATTTTAGCTTTGTTAATCAACAAGATGACTTTAAGACATTTCCTTACTATAGAAGCAGTGTTCAAGTACGGAGAGCAGACCCAGTTACATCAAAACCATTATTTAGGTAAAATGTACAGCTGGAGTTAGTAATGGGACATACCTTTAAACAGTTTTGAAGTTTGAAGTCGAAGAAAATTTACAGATTTCAAAATTGTTCTATGTTATATTTTGACCTTGAGAGAGAGTATAGGCCAAAAAAAAAAAACGAAAAAAAGAAGGAACCAACAACGATCGATTTTGGTTCATCTAATATTTCTTTTTATGATATTTAAGTTGCGTTATATATTATTTAAAAAATTTTTGCTTTTCATCTATTTTGGTTCCTGTCGTAGACCTTTAATACTTCATGCTGTGAAAAATTCTTCAACTTTTATTAAATTAACCATATTTTAACAGTTTTTTAAGCGACTCTTTATAGAGTGACATATTCACATAGGTACTCTACGTCGTATCAAGAATAAATGAGGAAGCCATCATTTCTTCATTATGTGACTTGTGCATTATTCTACTTCATTAACAAGAAGAAACTTGCTGCAGAAATAAACACTTTTTAATTACGAGGACACAGTCCCTTTGTTTATTTTTTACATACTAACGAATACAATAAAAAACAATGATTTTTTTTAAGTGGTTGAGCTGTGTCACACTTTAATTCATAGATATGCTGCACTCTCTACTATCAGGAAGCTCTCAAGGTACAGTGAGAATTCTGTGAAAAATGAAGACGACAGTTCAGCAATGTATTTTATAATTGATGCAGTTATAAAGCAAATGGTTTTATCTATGATTGAACTTATTAAGTGAAATTGCTCGGTGTACAGTGCACAATTGCTGTGTTTTATGTTCATAGGCCTATTTGACATTTTAACAGTCTTAACTTAACTTTGAATTAGCTTTACTTTACCTAAATGTTATTTTATTAGTTACTAATTATTAGATACAAAAACGTTAGTTATGCAATTATCCTGTGCTCTTGGATGTTTTTTTTTTAATTATAAATATTTTTTTTCAGACCTGAGGAAGAGAGAAAAATTCAACTTTGTTTCCATGTACTTAATGTACTTTCTAAAGTTGATCCAGGATTTACAAAATGGCGGGGTAATGTACTTCAGGTGAAATATATATTTGTAAACCCAATCCCAACTACCAATGTTAAAATCCGTTGGGTCAACCTTTTTAAATATCATCAATAGCGTCCCAGCACTAAAACAACTACAAAAGGTTTAAGTACGCAAACGAAAATTTAGACTTTACTACTAAAAATAAAATAAATCGACAAAAAAAGACACCGTATATAAATGCAAATACGACATTCCAAAATGTTTTTGAACATATTCTGATTGGCTAGCTTGATTGACCAAAGATTACACCAAAAACAAATCTGTTAAAACTTAATCTGGTAAAACTTAATCTGGTAAAACTTAACCTGGAAAAATTTAATCTGGTAAAACTTAATCTGGTAAAACTTAATCTGGTAAAACTTAATCTGGTAAAACTTAATCTGGTAAAACTTAATCTGGTAAAACTTAATCTGGTAAAACTTAATCTGGTAAAACTTAATCTGATAAAACTTAATCTTGTAAAACCTAATCTGGTAAAACTTAATCTGGTAAAACTTAATCTGGTAAAACTTATTACAAGATTTAAATTTCTTGTAAGAATTATGTTTCACCAATTTTTTAACCCTATACCGATTGGGATATTTATGTCTAATATAGATTGGGTGAGGGGGGGGGGTTCATGCCCCCACCTATGATTTTGCCCTTAGTGTCGAGATAGGGGAGTGTGATACATGTCCTTAGTCCAACTTTTCAAGGCCTGCTCAGTAAACAAACCTCTAACTATTAAATGTTGAGGGTGTAAGGGAGGATTTTTTGAAAGTTCAAAAAGTATGTCGAAAATTTTTCAAAAATAGATATTTTTACTTCTGACAAATATTAAAATATGCCACATGTTATTTCCATTTTTCAAGGACTTCTCTTTAAACAAAGACCCGCCGTTGACCGTCCTCCATCCTAGCCTATGCATCGAGAAAAAATATATTTTTTCAGCGAAACTCGCTCAAAACTATCATGTTGAAAAAGTGAAGAATTTTAACGTTCTAATGTAAGCCATTTTTAAGTTATTTAAAATAAACCACGGGGGGAAACCCTCCCCCCCCCTCCCAATCGTGATAGGAGTTAAACAATTTTTTTCTGTAGGAACTGGTTAGTTCACTGATGACAATCTCCAAACAGGATTTGAAGGCGAATATTATAACTGAAGAAGTAAGTACAGTGAAACCCTTAATAACGAATACATCGAAAGAATTCATCAAATGTCGTATTCTTCACTTTCTGATAATGGAATGTTGCAGATTTTCAGTTTTTTTAATTAAATGAGTATATGGAAATCTTTGAAACTGTTCCCGCATATTCATGGCAAATTATTTATTTTCGCAAATACTGAAATTTGCGTAATAAAGTATAAAACTCATTGAAAAATTGTCAAGACGACATTTGATAAATTCTTCCGATGTATTCGTTATTAAGGGTTTCACTGTATTATTGCTATGCATTTATATAATCCTCGCTGAAGTGCCGGCGTTGCCAGTAAAATTTTTAAATTTTTTTTTCGAAAAAATTTTAAATTTTTTTATCCTATGTTACCCCTAAGAAATGTCAGCCAAATTATATATATAAATGTTAGCCATAGATGGCCAAACGCTGGCCAATTTGGCTGACATTTTTTAGGGACAACAAAGGGTTAAAATTTTAAAATTTTTTCTAAAGTACAAATACAAGTACAACCACTTTTTCGAAAAATTAGAAATTTTTCTTCACAACGAGGTCCATTGTCCAATTTTGCCTACAAAACATCCCGCGCTGCGCTCTGGACGTTTAAGAAGCAAAATTGGTCTTGGGAACCCCTGGAAAAGTAAAACTCCATCAAGTTCCCTGTAAAGTAGTTGTAGATAATTTTAACTCGGTGCCAACAACTCTGAGGGGGGGGATTTCAGTTACCTCCCCTCTGGGGGGGGGGATTACAGTTACCTCCCCTCTGGGGGGGGGGATTACAGTTACCTCCCCTCTGGGGGGGGGATTACAGTTACCTCCCCTCTGAAGGAACCAGACACGGTTGTCCGATAAATCTATGAATGAAAAGCATTTTTACAATTAAATGTTTGGTTTTTTTCAAAATTTCCAAGATAACTAAAAGAATTTAAAAATGTTTAGATGTTCAAGAAACGACTTTACTACGGTATGGTTTCTTTATCTCAGGTATTTAATAGCTTTAATAATGAATATTATTTTAAACTTTTGAAAAATGTCGAAGAATTATACAAATTCAAATAAAATATATTGTAGTCGGCGTTTATATTAATACAATAAGGTCGACTTTTCTATTTACATTTTTATTTCTAACAAGCAGTGTTCAAATAACAAGTTTGCAAGTAATGTGCGCTGTGTTAAGCTCGAAATGAAGGCAGCGGACACCAAAATGTTCAGCTGTACTCGAAAGAACACACAACTGTTTTGTCAGGGTACCTTTATGAATCGGACACTAAGTATTATGAGAGGAATTGAAATTTGAAAAGTTTTATATTTTTAACATGTTTATTTTCTAGGCACTGTACTGTACTGTACTGTACTGTACTGTACTGTACTGTACTGTACTGTACTGTACTGTACTGTACTGTATTTTCTAGGCACGGAAATGTCAGTTTGCCGGCTTCTCTAGCTGAACCTGTTACAGTTATTCTTACAGTGATATCCAGAATACAATGGACTAGGAAGGAAGACAATATTATAGCAATACTTTTAGTGTATTTGATGTTGTTACACAGCAAACAGTTTTTACTAGACAGTAATGAATCACTAAATGATGAAATGTGTCTGTTTATACTGCACAATTAATATGTCCTCTTCTCAGTGCTCATTGGATTTTTTAAAGTTAAACTTTATTCTAAAAGTATTTTTCCTATTTTAGAATTTTCTGATTATCACTGTAGTGAACACTATAACATATACAATTACATGCAGTGTACAAGCTAAAAACTGCACCCAGCCCTGCAGTTTCGAAAATTCTAACCAAGCAAAACCTATTTAGTCAAAAATTATAGGATTAATGTTACATCAAAATAACGCGTATTTATTATTGCATATATTATGCACTGTATGCAAAAGTTCCTTATCTTTAATAACATTTATTTTTTAACCATCACGTCATAGATTAATATATTTCAACCCCTAATATTAATGTGTTATCTAAAATAAATATTTTTTTTTTAAATAAAACAAATGAAAAAAACCTGATTTGTTGACATTTGTCAAGAGAAGTAAAACTAAGCTGCATTAATGAGCTGCGACATTTTTATAATAATATTTTGTACAAGACATATCTAATGTGTTTGTTTTTATAATAATATTTGGTACAAGACATATCTAATGTGTTTGTTTTTATAATAACATTTGGTACAAGACATATCTAATGTGTTTGTTTTTATAATAATGTTTTGTACAAGACATATCTAATGTGTTTGTTTTTCGTGAGAAAGTGTGCTTTTTAAACAGCACAATATTAGTTTCTACAAATAAGCGAAGCCTATGTAATATGTAAAAGAAAAAAGATACCGAAAAAAGCTAGTTTTTCATTGGTTCCCTTAGAATACAGTGATAACCAGAAAACAATAGAATAGAAAGACTACATTTAGCAGTTATAGAGCGTTTTGATGTTGTTACATAGTAAATATTTTTAATTACTAGTAACTTAGCAAAGCACAATTTAAGTGAAAAGGGTCTTTTTACTCTGTACAACTGCTTTGTCTAATGTTCATAGATCTTGTTTAAGTCCTAACTTGAGTTTAAAATTCGTCTTCCCTTTTCAGATTTGTCTGGTTATTACTGTTTGATTGAGGATTTTTCGCATGACCCATAAAAACTGTTTTAGAAATCCCTCACCCATCATATTTTTCTTGATTCTATTATTTTGAAAGTCATAATTATTCGTTTTATAAAGCATGGTAAATCTCAATTTTGTGATTATCAAAAGTTTTTGATTAGCCAAACATTTTCAACCATTTTGTTTTGGTTAAACATTAAATACACACAACATTCAATTAAACATAAAGTTTTTAATACAATGGTGTATTCTTTATTTAGCTATAGCAAATTTTAAAACATTTTTTTATCACTAACAAACTTTTATCAAAGTGCACCTCCTCTTTGCAATTGAAAAAAATTTGATTTATGATGATGACTATTTCTAAGCAGAGTTTATAAAAATCCAGCCTCTTATGATTAAAGTTCAATTTGATCGATACCGACCGATGACATTACATTTTAACAAGACGCGATGCTTTTACAATTTTCTGCCATTTTCTGAAGTTTAGACCTTGCTGAGGATGGAAGTAAATGTAGAACCATGGATTCATCCTTCCATATTCATACTCCTTGGTTCCTGACCTTAATAAAATTCAAGTAATTTCAAGTGACCTTCCATGAAAAGATGACAATGCCTGATTCACAACGGTACCCTTGAAATCTTTGTCTGGTCAATTATGAATTAGAAATTAATGTTTTTCTTCTTCTAAATGTTTGTTTTCATTTTCAGTTTCTTTGCAAAAGTGTCTTGCTCACTTCTTGTTAATAAGAAGTGATAGAGAAACCCACTGAAATAATTACTTTTCCAAGTAGAAAAACGACGACATCTTCCTCATTTATGAGCACATAAAGGTTTCAATGGCACAGTTGTAAATCGGGCATTGCCATCAGTGTATTGAGATTGGAGGGTCACCTAAAAATGACGCTTACAAAGTCCCAATTTAAAGTAAAAGCAATGGTTCTCCTATTTGAGACATGATTAGCCACATTTTTACTTTGATACTAAACTTGGCTTACTTTACCTCGGGAAAATGTTTGGCATACTTTATAACAAGTTTTTGCGGGAACCTCTATTTTTTTTGTCTGGAAAATTTCGCGGAATTTTAGATATCTTCCATTTCTTTTGTATTGATACTTTTATTAATGCATGTGGGTTGGTTTGTGGCTAAAAGTATTCATAATCGAAGGAGTTTGGGGCATCATCTAAGCGGTATGGTGAACATAGCTTAAATTGAGATTCTAAATATATTTTTGATTTTTGGATATTGTTACCTCTGAGTTTTTTTCCATGTTGGTTTGGTCTGCGGAAGGGTAATATTTTGTAGTTTTCTGTTGGTATCCTTCTCGGCACTTGCTTTTGATTCTGAACTTTTAATTGTTGAATGCAAGTATTGTTCACTCGTTAAATCTTTTTTCGACCTTCCTAACCTCGCAAAAATGTGCTTATCAGAATTTATACTTCGTCCAATTCTACCGAAAATACTCTTATCAGAACGTCCAATCCGGCCGTAGATGCTCTTGTCAGCGCGTCCAATCCTGGCATAAATGCTTTTGTCAGCTCGTCCAATCCGGCCATTGATGCTCTTATCAGCGCGGCCCAATCGTGCATAAATATTTTTGTCCGAGCGTCCAATCCGTCCATAAATAGATTTATCAGCCCGTCCAATTCGTCCGAAGATTCGTTTGTCAGATTTGTCAGTGGTCTTTTTCTCATTTCCTCTTTTTTCTTCAAACTTTACTTGCGAAGCTGTGAGGGCAGAGAAGGGATCAAACTGAACCATATTACTGTCATATTCTAGGTCAGGATAGTCATAGAACATATTCTTATTCATTTCCTCATCTTCATCCAAAGAATTGTCGGAGAAATAGACGACATCTTCAAAATTTTGACTTTTGTAATCCGTGCTTTCATCAGCAGGGGAAAATGTTAGGTAGTTGATGTCTTCAGGAGCTGATGCAGGCTTCAGGATTGATTCATCGAAACATTTCATGTCATTACGACAAATTCCTAAAAATAATTTAGCTTTTTCACTATTAAGCTTAATTTCCGCTATGTCAAGATTTAAATGCCCGATTCAAAATTTATTTGTGTGAAAATTATGCAAACGTTGCGCAAAAAATATGGTTATTTCGTGGAAGGGCCCTACTTACAAACCCCGAAAATCATGTTTTTAAAGTTTAAAATTCAAGCTTGTTTCTTAGTATTTCTAGGAGAATAAAAACAATTCAATATTATTCGAACATAGTTTGAGAGATATCTCAGACAAATGTTATCGCTAACAATGTCTCAAATCATAAATTTCATAGATCACTAACCTTCGACGCAGCAAAGCCCTTGAAGTGTGCAGTATCCATTGAACAGTTCTCCACATGGTTTAGCATTAGGCACACAGGGGTCAACGTTCAAAGCTTCCCTCCTATAAAAGTTAAAGAGATGTTTACTCAATTCCATCAGACCTACCATCAACTAGAGATGGGCGTGTTCTTTTTTCCCATTTTTTTCATATAATACATGATTTTGTTCGTTTGCACAGTAAACAATCATTCATTAAAACCGTTTGTTTAAGAAGATCTTTAGTTCAATAAAATCGTTCGATCAGTTAAAAAACAAACAATATTTTTGGTATTTTTTTTTTTAATCGTTCTGTCATTAAAAAATATATAGTTTTTAAAAATTGCTGTTCCAAAAATGGTTCCTCGAAAAAAACGATCTTTATTGTCAAAATCTTTTGGAAAATTCGTTTGTTCAGTAAAGCATTTATCAATTTTTTCAAGTTTGTCTTTTTAAAAAAACGTTAGTTTTAAAATTTCTCTGGTTGATCCAAGTCGTTTATTATATCGTTTTTTATGAACGACACCATCGTTTACAAAAATGATGCCAATTCGACCATCAACCAAAGAATATGAAAGGTACTTCAAAAAAATAATATGTGTTGCAGTTTCTAGGAGTAATATAAACAAAGTTTAGTGCTTAATTGTTTACTTTCTCTCCCCATACCGCAAGAAATTTTTTATCTAAACGTTCCTGTTATATCCCTTACCATTAATGTTGGACAACTGCATCCTTTTAAACTAATATCGAACCATCTTTCTCGTCATTAAAGATTTAAAGTTACCGCACGAGTCACAAAAAGTATGATAAGGATTACCCCATTCGGTTGCAAAGATTAGAAAATCTAATTTTATGGCAAAGACACATTTTCAAAGCATGTTCACCGAATTTTAAAACTTGTTTGCAATTACAGCTGTCTCCAGTCTCCACAACCCTGTAGACTCTCAAGAAATGTCACCAGAAGGAGATCATTCAATTGGCGTACTCTCCCGTTTTGCCTCATATATCACTCCTGTATGCCGATTCCATTAGCGCCTAATCCAATCAGGGTTCAGCCATATATTTTTTGTCTATTCTGAACCAAAACAAATAGTATGGCGGTAACATCTATCTTTCTATCTATCTCATTATCCAATCAAAGTTATGAATCCTTCAATTGGCGCTATCAATAAATGAAAATATTTACTTCTACTGAAACTATGGTGATAGTCTGCATTTATACTGTACTGTTTGTCCCGGAACATGAAATAAACTGGAATATATTGTACAGTGCTCTCTAACCTGCATGAATCTGCATAAAGATCCCCAGATCTACACCCGAAGGGTCCACAGCACAGGTCCTCACCGAAGCATTGTCCGTCATGATTAGGTCCACATGATGGACACTTCAAATACAATATTAATATAGTGAGAATTCTGGAATAGGAAGACACAATTTTATACTTAAGATATAACTTTAAATAGCTCATCATTGAATATAAGATACAGCAAATGTGCAGTGTAAACCGACCCATTTCACAAAATGATTTTATACAGTAATAATCTAAATAACCCAGAACGATGTATAATAATCAATTAAAGACTTGAAAGGCGTCTTTGCCTTATTATTAGCAACCAAATATTATCAATAAAACAATAATAACAAAATAGTCCTAGTATTAACTTTTCCATAAAGATGCCTGCAATCTTTTTGCTTTTATGGTTACCAGAGGTATACATGATTTCGTTAAGAATTAGACATTTTCATAGTTTTATATTTAACCCTATTCCGGCTGCCCCCCTTCCATACTAGTTTGTGTAAACTAGAGTCTGAATAGGGTTTTTAAAAAAATCTCTGGTTTTCTTAAATCTTAATATCTCTGGTGCAAATCAAAAATAATATTTATTGGTATAAGTACCGAACCCCTGCGATGTTTATTCTGTGAAAATAGTGATTACAGTCCGATCAATATTTTTTTATGAAATTTCAAGACCAATCCCTTAAATGTTAAACCTACCATCCTGTCCTCAGGAGCCCCACGTTTACCTCGTGTGCCTCGCCCTTGAACCTGGGACATCATTATTTGTATTTGATTTTGAGGCAATTTATCACACTTAATATTTCCCGTTGTAGGGTGATTAATATTTATTGACTTTATCGCCCTACAACAGGGCAAAAAAATAACTTTTTCACCCTGCTGTCTAAATTTCAAATTGCATACCTAATAATTCCCGTTGTTTGGCGATAATATCTTTTTATGTCAATATAATGGGTATAATGTAAGTGCAAAAATGTTTTTGTCGTGATTTTTATTTTTACTTGTTTGTTTAAGATGAAAATGAAACCATTTTTATTTTGATCGAACACAAACTAGAAAAATTAAAATGCACAGCAAACACTTTTTCGCACGCATGATACCCAGTAAAATACCATATAAAGTTTTTTTTCAATTTGACTTAATTCATTTTATAGCAGTTCGATAAAGTTAAATTTATCACCCTGTTGTAGGGTGATAAATTAACTTAATATCACCCTACAACGGGAAATATTAGGTATAAAATTTGAAATTTTAATAGCAGGGTAATAAAGTTACTTGTTCGTCCTGTGGCAGGTCGATAACCTATAACAGCGGGAAATATTAGGTACGATAAATTCCATCAAAATTGAATAAAGTTTGAACTTAATAGTGACCATTACAATGATATAAAAGAATGTTGAAGACTGTGGCCGAAAAATCATTCAGCTTTCATCTATTTTATAAAATAAACAATAGCAGATCTAACTATAAAATGTATTTTCAAAAGGAATAATATTTCATTTTTAATTTACTACTGTGGGTATTAATTAGCTAAATAATATAAATATATATAAATATATATATATAGATGTAGATAAATACCTTGAGAGGGCAGTTAGTTATAAAACAGTTGTGTGAGAGATCAGTAATACTGAGAAGGTAAAGAAGACACATAAATACATGCATACCCTAACATTTTATTTGTAATGTCAAATAATAAAAATATTTTAAAATTAAGAATATTTGAGGTAGAGAAAAGGGTGTTTGGGATGTTTTAGAAATTTTTTTGAGAGAATAATCTCAATTTTTTTGAGAGAATAATCTCAATTTTTTTGAGAGAATAATCTCAATTTTTTTGAGAGAATAATCTCAATTTTTTTGTGGAACAAAATGTTGTTATTTTCAAAAAAAATATTTGTATGTCAAAGTGCTATTTGTCATTTGATATTTCTTCTTTCAGTATATAAAGGGTAGTTTCAATTGCACCCTGCGACCAAAGGGTTTCCCGACGCTCTACAGGGTTACCTCTAAAGAATAAGACTTCAAAGACAAGCTAAATCTTTATAAACTTAACAATTTGAGAGTTAAATTTTATATTTTGTCTTTAGAAAAACGTCGGACAAATTTACAGTTTCATTTATAAAGTGATTGAATAATCTTTGTGTAAACTCGTCTTTTAAAGTCTTTTTTGGTTACCCTATATTAATTAATTCGAGTGTTTGCTATTAAAGAATTATAAAATTTGACAATATTATCATTCATTGCCTGTAAATGCTTTTTTGTTGCATAAATTTAAATTTAAAATTGTAGTTACTATATCGTCCGTTAGATAAGATTTGAAACATTGTAAGCAAATATCCCCCCACCTCTCATTGATATAAGGATGTATCCTACCCCCGTGTTTACCTGTAACTGGTATCTATACCTAGATATCTACTGTTTATATACAGCTGGGAGAGAGGATTAGAGGTGAACATAATCCTTCTTATTTCCGTAAACACAATTAGATCAAAGGATTTTTTAACACCCAGGATTATCTTTAAATTTCAGTGAAATGATATGAATATATTTACTGAATACTGATGAAAACATTCTGTTGGGCAAAAGGGACAAAAATAAACTGTATTTAACCGTATTTAACAATTAGAAAAATACACTTACGACGTCTTGACAATTTTTCAATGGGTTTTTGTACTATTTTACATAGTCACTATCAGAAAGTGAAGAATACGACATTTGATAAATTCTTTCGATGTTTATTGATTACTTAGGGTGTAACTGTAAAAATTAAACGAGAATCAGAAAAAAATCCTAGAAAATAAAGTCTCAAAATGGCAGGACTTTTTCTTTCCAGAGATTTTCTATTTCAAGGACTTTTTTCCACAGGACTGATATTATTTTCATGATCTCCTATGGTGTGTAAGCTCTATGATAAGGTTTCTAAGGTCCAATGGTATATTTTATCTTCATCTAAACATAGAAAATTTATATTTTATGTATTCATGTAAACATAGGAAATTATTTATGGTTATTGAATGAATGTAAAAACATACTTTATGGATCTCTTTCAATTTTTAATATTAAGTTTGTTTACTCCTTCCTTCGGTTAATTGATTGAGTGGTTATCAATATTGATTTAAATAGTATGTACAGGGTGTCCCAAAAAACATGGGAATTCAGTGACGAATTCGATATCGTCTTTTTAGATAATTCTTTGATTTAGTAAAGTGATACCTACTGAGAAAGCTGTAATTTGTAAGAGATTCGTCTGCTAAGTTCACATTTTGTTTGTTTATGTTTTGACTGCATACGGTTGTACTTAGTAAAACAAGAAAATTACAGTATACAAACAGAGTAAACTTGTCTGTCTTAGACATTATAGACACACCTTTACAGTCTTTTACCCTTTTCACAAAATAAACTCTATCAGACATAATAATATTATGGCTTTTGAAATTAGGTACTACAATGCTAATTTATAACAAAGACGATATCCAATTCGTCACTGAATTCCCATGTTTTTTGGGACACCCTGTACATTCAAAATAAGGGGTTCTAGCACAAGCGGAGTTTACTTGCGTGCCAGCATTTTTCTATTACTATAACTGCGTGTACATTTAATTAGCATGGAGTTGCATGCAATTTTCTTGCATATTATAGGTATATTTTTTAAAAGGATACAGAAAATACACAGCTTTTAATCTTTGAGTGTGAACTGTGAGTTGGTTTCTTAAACTTGCCTACCAAACGGATTGAAAAACCTAGAATTTAACACAGTTTTATCGCAATTTTTAGAGACAGGAACATCAGATAGAACTGTGCTTGGTGTCGATCAACTCATAAAATGCTTAGGTTTCAGCGATACCCCCTTTCATTTTTCCTTTAAAGTCCTATTAAACACAATTGTTTAGCATTTTTTCAATACCTTTTTGCTGGCATATGCATTTTGAATGAAAAGTATAAAACAAACAAATCCGTAATTTTAAAGATTGTTTAATTATAAACCAAAACGCGTATGATTTTAAAGAAAAGAAACCAAAACCTCTAACTTTGTTTTGTCCAGGCCGGCTGGAGTAGGGATGGAGTGGTAAAGAGGCGCCATGAGCCCCGCAAAAATGACCTCCGAACCTCCAGATTTGTAGAATGACCGCCAGGCCCTGCTCAGTGACCCTTGCTTCGTCTCCGAGCATCCGCCATACTGTCTCCACTTCCCGCATTTTGGTTTTCAATAAATAATATTTGAATTTGTGCTTTTTTGTATTTTTTAGAAAACATGGAAGGACTATTTTTTAAAAAGTTGAATTTTTTTTAAATGGTCTAAATATCTATAATATGCTATACTTACAGGACAAGGCAGCGTCGTGTCCTGTACTTAAGTTTTAATAATTTAATTTACTTTTAAATATTTTTTCTTTTAGTGAGAGAATTAATCATGAATCATCTACCTGTCACTATACCCAGGCCCGTAGCCAGGATTTGAACAGGGGGGTGCAACCTGATGCGCTGCAGGCGAAAAAAATTTTTGGGGGGTTTTTAATGATTTTTTTAAACAATGTTTGGTTTGGTTTTACAGTGGTATATGGTTGTTTTTATTACATTGTCAATGCACACTATAAAGGCTAACCTTTTTAACAAGTGTATTTGAGCTTTTAAGGGAGTACTGCTTAACTAACAGAGTCAAGTAATCATTTATTACTTTGACTTTGCAATATGAAAATGATATGATCTTATTTCTTATTCATTTAAAAAAAAGCTTTTCAAGGGTCAAGGGGGAAACCCCTCACCACGGAAATGCCTCAAAAAAAACAGACTCATAAAACATAGCACACAGGTCAAGGGGGCGGGGGGCGGGGCTAAAATTCTGAAAGTGTACAGGAGATTACCATTTCATTTACATGGGACTCTATGCATATAATTAATAAATCATACTGTTTTAATTAGACTTAAACAACTATTAAATGAATATGAGTAAATTTTGATGTTGTGTTATATTTAATCAACAGAGTGTACTGATCAACTGTTAGTTAGCCTGCGATAGGTTACAGAAAAGACATGACTCAGGGGATGAGTTGAGAGAGTACACAAAAACTCCGTCACACTTTTAATGAGTAACGCACAAATAGATTATAATTTGGTTTGGAAATCAATTCTTACTCGGGCTATATAATTTATAACTAGATTTTAGAAACAATTTCTTTTATATGGGACTAGGGGGGGTGCAAATTCGTTATTGCACCCCTCTTTCAGAAGAAAGGGGGGTGCACCTGCCCCCTTGCCCCCCCCCCCCCTGGCTACGGGCCTGGACTATACCTGTTACGATAGGACGGTGACGGACCCTCATTTATTTGCAGTACTATGATTAAATTTAAGCTGAGGACTCGATAGAGTTTATATAATCTTCAAACCATGATGTCTTCAAAAATATTAAAGTTGTTTGATCGTCTTTCAGACAAACCAGCTTTAAGTAAACTTTTTACAAAAAAACTTCTGAGGATCAAGTGAATGAATCAATAGTTAAAATTTGTCGATTAAATTATTCTTTAAACTATTGAGGAGTCTACTTTGAAGATATATACAGGGTGTCCCAAAAAACATGGGAATTCAGTGATAAATTCGATATCGTCTTTGTTATGAATTAGCATTGTAATACCTAATTTCAAAAGCCATGATATTATTATGCCTGCTAGAGTTTAATTTATGAAAACGGTAAATGGCTGTAACGATGTGTTAATAATGTATCCGCAAGATGAACAGTGAAGACGGACAAGTTTACACTGTTTGTATACTGCAATTTTCATGTTAAACTAAGTACAACCGTATGCAGTCAAAACATAAACAAACAAAATGTGAACATATCAGACGAAACTCTTATAGATTACAGCTTTCTCAGTAGGTATCACTATACTAAACTAAAGAATTTTTTGAAAAGACGATATCGAATTTGTCACTGACTTCCCATGTTTATTGGGACACCCTGTATAAGTGGAGATCAAAATGGCGTGGAAAGAAAATGGAGGAGGCTCGGAGACAAAGTGAGAGGCACGGATACAGAGGTCATTTTTGCAGGACTCATGGTGCCTCTGCACCCTCTCCCTTGGGTAGGAAGAGGCAGGTATTGGTTTCTGGAACCTCAAAGGTTAGCTGATGTAAACCAAACTAATGATTAAGAGGATTTTAATTTGATTTAATGAATTTGATTTAATGAATTTAATTTAATGAATTTGATTTAATAAATTTGATTTAATTTATTTGATTTTTTGAATTTGATTTAATAAAATTGATTTAATGAATTTGATTTAATGAATTTAATGTAATAAACTTAATTTAATGAATTTGATTCAATAAATTTGATTTAATAAATTTGATTTTTTGAATTTGATTTAATAAATTTGATTTAATGAATTTAATGAGTTTGATTTATTGAATTTAATTTAATGAAATTGATTTAATGAGTTTGATTACCAACATCACTTTAGTTAAATAGATTCTTGGGATATTACAGAAGAAAATCCATAAAAATGTTTTTAGAAGACGACATTTAACAAAAGGAATAATTTTATGGCCTTTCTAATACCGGAATTTCAGAGATCTGTTTTACCATAGCTAAATGTGATGGTGTGTTTTTCGACCTACTCACATCCGCTTTACTCCACTTCTGACCTACGCTAAATCTGCTCTACTACACATCCGACCTACTAACACGTGGTTTTATAGCTGCTATGGACTTGTGGCCGCGGCGCTTGGCCACTTAGCCTGTCCTAGCCGCAGCACTCGGCTCGGAAATTGTCTTAACATAACCTAACCCTGAAATAATACAAAAATTGACTGATGGAATAGGTCCGATATTGCATGAGGTTGACAAGTTAGTAGGTCAGAAGTTCAGTAGGGAGGATGTTGTGTATTGACATTACCGCCGCAAATGTCGTCTATTTACCATGGTTAGAATCTGCAGATTTGATGATGATTAAAATGTATTTTATACAGTGAAACCCTTAATATCGAATACATCGGAAGAATTTATCAAATGTCGTCTTGACAATTTTTCAATGAGTTTTATACTATATTACGTAAATTTCAGTATTTGCGAAAATAAATAAATAGCCATGAATATGCGGGAACAGTTTTAAATAGTTTCATATAATCATTTAATTAAAGAACTAAATATCTACAACATTCCATTATCAGAAAGTGAAGAATACGACATTTGATGAATTCTTTCAATGTATTCGTTATTAAGGGTTTCACTGTAGTTTCACTGTTTGATTAGATTTGTAATCTAAAATCTAAGTAGAGAAAGTCAGCAACATGTGTTTAGCAAATTAACGGAATTTTAAGGACAAAAAGGTGGCAATACAAATTTTTTTCATTCGTCTATAGTAAAACAAGTAAGACGACATGTTCACATAATGTTTTATGTCTTAAATCATTGATGATAAATTTCCATTGTTCCATTTACCATTGTAAATTGGGCATTGTCATCTTTACATGGAGGGTCACTTGAAATTGCACTTCATTCCTTTTTATACTGACGCTAAAAATACGCTGGCTGGTTGTTAACTGCAGAGGTAAAATCATTTTTACAGTTTGGGGCTCTTTAAGGGATACAGAGTAGGAATGGATCGTTTTTAGATTTCTGAAAAACGAACTGATCAGATTTTCTTTAACAGTGTGCAGCTCTTGAGGTATACAGAGGTTACTATTCTAAAAAACTAATCGATCGTTTCGTTAGCAATAACGATGTAGAAAAAAGTCATACAAAGTTATATATTCTTCACAAATTGTGTCATTGAAACAAATTATCAAATTTTCCTTCCTTACCTAAAACAAGCATTTTACATTTTGTTAAAGTATTTTTTTTTGGTACAGCAACTTTTTTTTACATAATTCTTGATTTTTTAAGTAATCAATGTGAAATTAGCATTTTCGTCTTTTCATTATTAATTTCTCAAATTCATTCTCTGTGGACAAAATAAAAAATGTTAGTCAGTTAGTTTTGAAAAACCAAAAACGAAATGAAGAAAGAGAAGTTTTTAAACACAATTTACAAACATGGTACAGGTAATCTAGTGCAGTTCATTTATGGAGCACCACTGGAAGTAGCAGCAGGAGAAAAATAACAATTTATCCTCCAACTTGGAGTTCAAAAAATAAAACATATTGTTACCCTTAAAAAGTGGTATCAAATAAAGGAAATATAAAGGCTAATTAAACAGACTTGAGTAAATCCAAAGAGTATAGGAAAAAAATATATTTACGAGTAAACTATGAATGGATAAAAAATTATACTAATACTCATAAAAAGCCGGAGGTCTCTCGGCAGACTCTCCGCCTTTTATTTGCCCCGAGGTAACCTGCCATCTTCCGACTCTCGTCAATACTCACGTTCGTTTCAGTTTTAGCCCAGGTCATATTATTTCTTCCTGCCTTAATTGTTTTCAAGCTAAGTGTCACTGCCTATTGAATAAATTAACAATAGAATTTCCTGTTCCAACGTTGCCTTGCTTGAGGAGACTTGTCATCTGTCCCACTGCTATCCTTGACTACAGTTTATGTACAAGTAAGCCTTTCTCCATGCTAACAATAGAACATGAAAAACACTTAGATAATTAAGAAAAACATTAAATAGATCATGAAATAATATGTCTTCAACTACAACTTTTTCCCTGGACCTAGCCAACCCTTCTATGTAGAGATTAATTTTAAAGGGAGTGTTCGCGAAAAATGAAAGGGGGTATAGGCTTAATGTGTTTAAAAAGCGCGTTTGATCGCTACTAATCTTACTTCTATCTGTTGCGTCTATAAGGAGAAAATTGACAAAGACGTCTCATACCGAAGAGCGTAGCGCCAATACAAATTGAGGAAGTTGGAACATACGACTTAGACCGTAAAAAAATCAAATTAATATCAAACAAATCATTCAGATATTACAACCTATAGTCATCGATTATCTCTCGCCACATTTGTATATATTTAATATTTCATACTAGTATAGATTTTGTTTTTTTAAATAATATTTAGCTTACAACTTGTTTTCGAACATTCCTGGATAATATGAAAATGTCGTCTTCATTACCAAAAATCCTCGAAACAGGAATAAACGTTTTTATAAGTATTTCTCAGATCATAACAATTAAAACATACTATGAAAAATAAACTATATATAAATGGGGCGAAAGATAATCGATGGCTATAGGTTGTAATATTTGAATGATTTGTTTGAAATTAAATTGATTTTTTTTGCGGTCTAAGTCGTATGTTGCAATTTTCTCAATTTGTATGGACGCCATGTTATTCGGAATGAGACGTCTTTATCAATTTTCTCCTTATAGACGCAGCAGATAGAAGTAAGATTAGTGGCATTGAAAAGCGCTTTTTTATCGCATTAAACCTATACCCCCTTTCATTTTTCGCGAACACTCCCTTTAATAAAACTGATAGATTGTTTATATACAGGAAAAGGATAAATTTTAAAGCATAATCACTTGTGGATTCTTTATAAAAGTGACTTGGGAATTTAAAGACTATTGTTAGAATTAAAGACAGTCTTTTTTGGTTTTGCAAATATTTTTTTCTTATTTGTCTCTTTGGAATAATGAA